TATAATAAAATTCAGATTCATACGTGGACAAAGTATGCCCTTTCATTGGTTGATTGTTTTCCACTTTTAATTAGTTGCACACATGGCCAATTCTTGTATTTTAATTGGTGAATTACATATAATTTATTATAATAAAAATAAATATTTGATTTTAAAAAGTTTTTTGAATAATAAGATCAATAGTTGATGTGCAATACAAAGTAAATATATATATATATATATATTCCATGTGAGTAACAAATTAAGTCAAAATAGGTGAAAAAAAGCTAAATACCCAAGGCTTAATTTCCGTATACAAAAGGTGAATACATCGTTACCAATACCATTACCATTACTATTACTAGTATCATTACCATTACCATTACTAATACTATACCAATACCAATACCAATACTTATACCAATATCAATACCAATACCAATACCAATACCAATACCAATACCATTACCATTACCATTACCATTATTATTACCATTACCATTATCATTATCATTATCATTACCGATATACCAATGCTGATATAAATACCGATACCACTACCATTACTGATACTGTTATCATTACCATTACCGTTACAATTACCATTACCATTGCTAATACTAATATAAATATAATAATACTAATACTAATCTGATAATAATACTACTACTATTGGTAATCCTAATGTTAATCCTAATCATAATGCTAATGCTAATTCTAAGTTCCTAACACTAATGCAAATGCTAACCATGCATAATCCTTGTCCTAGAACAACACCCAATCATAATTCTAATCAAAATTCTTATCATTATCCTAAGACTAATGTTAATCTTAAACCTAATACTAATTCAAATATAATTATAATCCTAATCCTAATAATAATCCGAATCATAATTCTAATCTTTATAGAAATGCCAATATGCTAATGCTAATGCTAATGCTAATGCTAATCATAATTCTAACTATAATGCTAGTACTATACTAATCATAATGCTAATCGCACTACTAATATGCTAATGGTAACGCTAATGCTAATCATAATACTAAACTAATACTTATATGCTAATGCTAATGCTAATTCTAATATACTAATGCTGATGATAATCGTAATTATAATTCTACTGCTATTGCTAATACTAATGTTAATCCTAGACATAATCCGAATTTCGATACTACTAACCCTAGTCCTAATGCTAATGCTAATGTTAATCATACTCCTAATCCTACGCATAATCATAATGTAAATCCAAATCCTAATGCTAATGTTAATTCTAATTGTAATCCTAATTCTAAGTCTAATACTAATCGTAATCATAATCATAATTCTAATCCTAATCCAATCCCTATTAGTAATAATCATAATACTAATACTAATACAAATATTAAATTAATGTTAATACTACAACAACACTCACATTAGTATATTAGGATTAGTATTAGTATATT